CATGCTCGGCGTCCGGGCATGGTGCAATGTCAGCTCCCTCTATTGACAACAACAGTAAAATAATGTGAGCACATTTGTTATGTCATGTTTTGCAACATGCGTACTCGATGAAATAATATGTTTCGAATTGTGCATGAAATACCCACATACCTGGCAAGTCTTCAGTTCCGACAAGCAGCTCCCCCTCGTCCATACATGGAGGACTGTATGCTCCGACTGTGAAAAGTAACAGTGATGTCATGAGAGCACATTACATCTCCCAACTCAAGCATCGTACAACGTCAGGCAGTAACATATGTAGAATCCCTCGTTAATAATGCACGTACCTGGAGGCTGTGATCGTCCTGTGTCAACTCCCATTTCAATTGGCATGGGCAATGGGTCTGTGCCTCGTCCATGTACATCTATATCCCAATTGTAACAAGAAAAAACCGAATAACCTTGTGGTCAATTTCAAAAAATATAACCGAATAGCACTTGTTTGATTCATACCTTGTGGGGAACAACCTGAAGGACCGGGCTCGAAAATGGCGCCCGTTGAGCATGGAGCGATGGTAGGGGAATGTGGGGCCACTTGGGCAGCAATGAACTCACGGAGTCTTGTACATTCAAATGTCACGTGCTGTTCAATTTCAAGCTTCACAGTCCAAAGTCACATCTCGAAGAGGATTCTTTGGTCGAGTAGCAGCTCCTCAACTTCCCCTTTCGTCAAGCTGGAAGCAGATGTTCGAAGTGGCAGTGAGTTTGTCGTACGCCCTCGTACTGGTGAACGAATCGGTGCCCCTGGAGGGGTGGAAGAATCACAGGTATCCTTACTGTCGTCGCCTTCAAGATCACTTCTCGACTCCCCATTACTCTCATCATCTCCAGATGTCTCCCCATCACCACTTGTCCACTACGGACTCTGTCCTCCAAATTTTGACCTCCCGACTGTCCACCAACTCCACTTTAGGCGTGTAACGAACGAATCTGTGGCGCAACCACAGTCCTCACAATGTCATCAAGCACGGGCACCGGGGGATCATCGTACAGCATGAGAGAGGACAGATATGGCTACTTAGCCTCTACATCGGTGGGCCGGAGAGTTGCGTACACATGCATCTGTGAAATGAGGTTTAGATAATCACATGAGAATGTGCCAGATAGTAACAAGATGGTAAAGGGGAAACAAAGACATGTCGAAATTGTACCTGTACATTCTTGAAAAATGCATCGTATGTACGATGTTGTGGCTGCTTTCGAGTGGACCAGCGAAGAATTCGTGGTAGTCGTTCACCAACTCGCTGACCAAAGCGTTCCCTAATCTCCGGAATCGCCTCGAACACCCAAACCTGTTACAACAACAAAAACACATTAAAATTACAGAGATTATATGTGCAATGCCACAGGAGGGGTAAATCATGCATGCTATGCTAATGTTACGAAGTGTGCATACTTGCATTGTGATGGGGAAGCCATGAACCGTGCATATAATCTCTTGCTCCTTCCTCCTCTTAGTCTTTTCGAATTTTCTTGCAAATCTACCCCGGAACCCGTGCAACAATCGCTTATATCCAACTCTACCCTAAGGGTAGGAAAAAAAGAAGTCCAGGTCGTCCACCATTGATAAAAATGGCAAATGGATACCGACGTTATTATCCGAAGCATTGAATACTCCCTCGACAATTAGAACCAGCCCTAGCTTGTAGCGATCAGCACGGGTCATTGATGGTCGGGCAATAGTAGACTGTAGTTGTGCCAATGAGACCTTGTCATTGGACTTAAAGTACCTCTCTTTCAACCTTTTCCTCTCAATCAATCGATCAAAATCGTCCCCCTCAGGGAAGACACTGCATCTTAACCCCGTCACAGCAGCGTACTCTTGTAGACCGAATCTCATCAGGTGGCCTTGCACATTGAACCAAAGCTCGTTCACCTTTTCTGTGTGGATTGTTCTAAACAGTAGCCGTAGGATTAGTTGGGCAGAGAATTGAAATGTCTGGAATATCAGCCAGATACCCGAGGGGGGAGTTACGAAAGTCCTCACGTTGTCGCTCGTCAAAATGGTCCATCAAAGTCTTAACATACTTGAGGTTGCTGCGTTGGGAAATGTGGGCCCGCAACCATGCATCTTCTGGAATCAGGAATTCAAACTCCATATGCCCAGCAAGGTACGATGACAAAACCCATGGGATTAGATTATAAACATAAACAATATTGTATAATGTCTAACGCTATAAGGATTGAACATCATGGATACAGTGATCTGTCGAGAACTCCAGAAATCATACGTCGGTATCGACAAATTGTCCGTGGACAGCTGTCGATACCGACGGTTGATGTTGAAATACGAATGATAGGCTAACTGTCGAAAAAAATAGAGAGTCAAGTGTCGGGGTCGACAGTTCACTGGGAGTTGCTATGCGTGCCGCGGGGTGTAAGTTGAACATATTAGGCAGTGCCACATACAAGTATGTTTCAGAAGTAATAACGGAGGATGTGTGAAGGCAGACATACATGCTAGGATTCGTAGCCATTCCAGTTACCGTACTTCTTATCAAATATAGGAAACAAATTTATGTACGTGAGTCTGAATGGAGAGTCAATATGAGACGGTGATGGACATGTATGCAAGTGACTTGAACGACACAATTTTACAGGTCAAAGTAGGTAGGACACAGTATCATACACCTCAACTATTTAACGAATACTTAAGACAATCAATGAAACCAGTTTGTACACCTCAACATGGTCAACAGTAATTGAGACAATCAATGGCATGAAAGAAAATTAATATTTATCCATCCTACGTATCCCATCAAATTGAGCAACGAAATCCTAGCGTGAGATAGTAACCGTACTTATGAGACATAAATGGAGAGTGAATATGACATAGTGAAGGACATGTATGCAAGTGATTTGAACAAAACAATTTTAGAGGTCAAAGTAGGTAGGACACAGTATCATACACATCAACTATTTCATGAATACTTAAGACAATCAATGACACCATTTTGTACACCTCATTTAGCTCAACAATACTTAAAACAATCAACGAAATGGAAGAAAATTACTATTAATTCATTCTAGGCATCCCATCAAATTAAGCAACCAAATCCTACCATCAGATAGTTTATATTCAACCAAATCAAATCATAAAAAACCAAATCCTGTTTATAATTTAGCAGAAAAAATCAACTTTTGCAGTCACAAGAGTTCGCTGCACCAAAAATTGCCACATATGTATAAAGTTATCCATCGAAATTCCATGAAAATTCAATTTCACAAGAAGGACCCAAAATTGGACAAGCACAAGTTTTCGATATGCGTCTCTTCTGTCCAATACAAACAAAAGCCCAACAACAATAACCACTTATATTTTTGGTAAGTGATGATATTAAATTATGATAAGGTGTGTATAATTTATTTCAAATTGTAACTTATACTATCTTATTATTGTCTCCACAACCATTTTATACCAGAAATCATCACAACTAATCCAGAAGTGAGACATATAAAACCACAACAACAGATCTTTGTCAACAAATGATCGGCTTATACTATGGTATTCACAACGACTATTGGTAAAGCAAGTACTATAAATTCGACATTTTTGGACACCACATTTCGAAGCTTTGTCAAAACCCAATTCATTGAGATCAAGATTATGCTGAGAAAAGAAAAATAACCAAATCCCGTTGAACGAAAGCCCTCATTTATTATGAAAAGCATATCAAAAGTTGGGTACTGATTAAACATTCAACTCTTAAATCTTCAAAAATTCAACACAAAATTGGAATATAGTTCGCCATTGGTACATTCAACCCTAAAGTCTTAATTAATCCAAAATTTCCCAAGCAGGTTATTGAACGACCACAACTATAATCATTTCCCAAAAGCACTTCAAACAAAGATGTGTAAAGGGGAAAAAATGTTCATTCTATCTTCTACCAAACAGCAAGCATGAAATTACAGCCATTTTATATTCAAATCAGTCAAATAAATCCATACATACTCTACCCAATACATTCAAACAATGAAATCCCAACTATACTCAAACAAATTACACTAATACAGAAAGAACCCTTGTGCCTAATTATATGAACAATCTCGAAGTAGAACTAATTTCCCAAGTTCAATGGATTATCAAACTGTCATATGCTGTTTTATGTATATATTTCCTCTTCTTCAGAAAAAATGCATAAAATGAATACAACACCAACCTGAAGAAATTAGTGATGGTCTTCGTCCACGGTAAAGTGACCCATGGCGGTCGTTGATGGTTGGTGGTTCGATGATTCGAATGTCAGAGGGGAGTCTCACCTTTCGCCGGTTCGTATCACGCAACGGACTGCTCTCGGTCTTCATCAGTGGTGAAAGAAAGGAAAGTACGATAGAGGGGATGATTCCAATGAAAGAGTAGAATGTGTGAGAGAAGGGATGTGTGAGAAAAAATTGCATAAAATTACTACAATACCAACCTGAACAAATTAGTGATGGTCTTCGTCCACGGTAAAGTGACCCATGGCGATTGTTGATGGCTGGTGGTTCGACGATTCGAATGTAAGAGGGGAGTCTTGCCTTTCGCCGGTTCGGATCACGGAACGGAGTGCTCTCGGTCTTCGCCGGCGGTGAAAGAAGGGAAAGTGCGATGGAGGGGATGATTCCAATGAAAGAGGAGAATGTGTGGGAGAAGGGATTGTGTTTCAACACTGGTTTGTTCTTCTCCTTCGTTCCAACAATTGGTCGTTTCACCTTCTTCGTTCACTAGTTTTCTTTTTTTTCTTTTTTTTTCCTCTCCAAGTACCTGACATTTCAGAGATTTTGTACAATTTCAAGTGTTGTCATGTCATATTTAAACAAGGACTCAGATGGGATTGAACTTAGTAAGAGGGGCAAAAAAGTCCAAATATGACAATTTTGCTATCACTTTAAAAAAGTGACATTTTTGTAAGTAACAAGGTAAAATTTGACTAGTTTGATAATTTTCACATCATATAATAATGTTGGTTCTATTTCAGGATGAGCTTCGAGATGCTCCATTACCTGTATTTGCCAACAAACAAGATCTCCCCCATGCAATGATTGTTGTTGAAATAATAGACAAGCTTGGCTTGCACTCGCTGAGGAAGTATCACTGGTAAACAAATCTTGGTTCTTTATTGCCATTTGTCTTTGTTTGCTATTTTTTTACCTGAGTTGGTTTCGCTTGCTGCTTCTAGGTCCATCCAGAGACCTATGCCACATCCAGAAAGGGGCTTTACGAGGGTCTCAATTGGCTCTCTTAAACCATTCCTTACTAGGCAAGTTCTATTTATCTGATAGTGTCGATATGCTTTCTTCTTCATTTGTATTCGATTTAGTTTCTCACAGTCGCTCCGTTCTTGCAAGCATGAGGTCTAAGTTCATGCCAAGTTGGAAGTTCAGGTTTATCAATAATTAATCATATGTGCGTGCCAGCTTATAGATCTTTCTGGTTTTTGTTTAGAACTTCCAAAGAGTTCTGATGCGTGTTCAGTTATATAATTCTCTTAAAGGCATTGTTTGGTTTGGAATAAATGTTTTTATCCCACATATTTAATGCTTAATATTTGTTATTACTAGAATCCACTTAGATTTGGATCCTAACACTCCATTTAAAAGTTTATTATGTTTTATGACAAAAATCATATACTACAATAGATCACAATGTAAAAAGTCTAATAGAATGGTCAATTTTAAATTTGTGACATAAATCTAATTCGGCCACTGGACCTTTGAACCCACCATTTTGCCGGAGGAACCTTCATGTGCAGCCACTTTAGCTGTAGTGATTCTCTTGTCAAACCCAATTTATCATTAGTTCTAAAGGGATTTCCTTAACTACCATGAAATCATTAATGTTACGAGATTATGGATCAGTATTCTTTTTCAATACTATTTAGTAGTATTCAATTGTCTCACCAGTACCAAAACAAACCACTATTCTTTAACTTCAAAGAATTAAAAGAAAGAACAGAACCATACGAAAATTTTAAAATAAATAGATCAAAACTATGGATGGTACTTTCCCAATAAGATTCCAGGATGATGAACAACAGGTCAATATTCATGTACCATTTCCAAACATTTCTTGAATTCGCTTTGCCTTCGCAATGAAGGCGACAAAAGATGGAAAATTCTGAGTGAATTGGATTTCATCTTTTTTAACCCTTGACAATTCTTTCCTATAGTTGTTAGTACTAAGTGGTGTGGAAGTTGGAGTCAACTATATTTTTGTCTTGATTATAAAGAATTGAAAATATTTTCAATCAAAGTATTGAGTTACATAAGGTTTTTATAAATGAGTGACGATCAGTGATTTACATCCAAACAGACTAAGCCTCAATAAACAATCCTTTCACCAAGCGATTTGATGTTTCACGAAGTCAGAATTTAGGGGAATTTCTACAAAGAGGACGTCTAATATTTTTCATTTCACCTGCATTATATACACAAATAATCTATACAAGCAATTATACACAAAAGGAATATTCAAATCTAACTGAATTGCCATGTGATCTAACTGAATTTGTTCACCATGCACAACCAATTCAGTTATGTTGTTGAATGTTACACATTCCTGCTATGTTGGCTCGAATATTCTACCTCCCCCTTCAAGGTGGAGTGTGTTTCTACCACTCCAAGCTTGTCTCTATGAGACAAGAATCTTGAATGAGTGAGTAGTTTTGTCAGCAGATCTGCTATTTGGTCTGATGTTGGTATGTAGTTAATTTCCAATTCTGCTCTAAGAACCTTGTCTCTTACAAAGTGAACATCAAGCTCTATATGCTTGGTGTTTGCATGGTAAACTAGGTTTAAAGCCAATGCACTTGCGCTTAAATTATCACACCATATCTTTGGCACCGTTCTTTGTAGTATCTTTAGCCCCTTCATCAAGGATTGAATCATGTAATTTATTCTAATTTGATTGGAAACGTGTCAATGAAACTCACCAATTAACTAAATTTATGTGAAATTTTAACCAAATTTGATTGGAAACGAGCTAATGAACAAAACTCAGATGAAATTTTTGTCAAATTTGATGGGATATACACCAATGAACCAAACTCATGTAAACTTTTAGTCAAATTTGATTGGGAACGCGCCAACGAACAAATCCCAGATGAAATTTTATCAAATTTGATTATAAACATGACATTAACCGAAACCCAGGTGAACATTTAGTCAAATTTGATTGTAAACACGCTAATTAGCAAAACTCATGTGAAATTTTAGTCAATTTTGATTGAAAATGCAATAATAAACAAATTCAGATGAAATTTTAGTCAACTTTGAATGGAAACGTGCTAACGGACAAAATTTAGGAGAAATTTTAGTCAAATTTAATTAGAAATGCGCCAATGAACAAAAACAAAATGAAATTTTAGTTAAATTAGATTAGAAACGCGCCAACGAACAAAATTCAAGTAAGATTTTAGTCAAATTTCATTGGAAACATGACAAAGAATTGAACCCATGTAAAATTTTAGTCAAACTTGATTCAAAACACGCCGATTAACTAAATCCAAATGAAATTTTAGTTAAATTTGATTGAAAACGTGCCAAGGAACGAAATTCAGGTGAAATTTCGATCAATTTTGATTAAAAACGCACTAATGAACAAGGTTCAGATTAAAATTTTAGTCAAATTTGATTAGAAACAAGCCAAAAAACTGAACCCATGTGAAATTTTAGTCAAATTTAATTGCAAATATGGCAACGAACAAATTCCAGATGAAATTTTAGTCAAATTTGATTAGAAACACACCAATGAACAAAACCAGGAGAAATTTTAGTCAAATTTGATAGGAAACGTGCCGATGAACCAAACTTATGTAAAATTTTAGTCTAATTTGATTGGAAATGTGCCAACGAACAAAGCCTAGATGAAATTTTAGTGGTATTTGATTAGAAACATTCCAATGAACAAAACCTAGGGAAACTTTTAGTTAAATTTGATTGGAAACACGCCAATGGTCCAAACTTATGCGAAATTATAGTAAACTTTGATTGGAAACATGCCAATGAACAAAACTCAAATGAAATATTAGTCAAATTGGATTGAAAATGCGCAAATGAACAAAACTCATGTGAAATTTTAGCCAAATTTGATTGAAATCGCGCCAACGAACAAAGCCCAGATGAAATTTTAGCCAGATTTAATTAGAAACACACCAATGAACTAAATCTAGGTAAAATTTTAATCAAATTTGATTGGAAATGATCCAATTAACCAAATTCATGTGAAAATTTAGTTAAATTTGATTGGAAACGGGCCAACGAATAAAGTTTAGATGAAATTTTAGTTATATTTGATTAGAAACACGCCAATGAACAAAATCAAGGTGAACTTTTAGTCAAATTTGATTAAAAACATGCATATGAACCAAACTCATATGAGATTTGAGTCAAATTTGATTGGAAACTCGCCAACAAACCAAACTCATGAGGAATTTTAGTCAAATTTTTCGGAAACGCGTCGACAGACCAAACTCATGTAAGATTTTAGTCAAATTTGATTGGAAACGTACCAATGAAAAAAACTCAGATGAAATTTTAGTGAAATTTGATTGAATTTTAGTCCAATTTAATTAGAAATAGGCCAACGAACTAAACACAATTTTTTTAATTAAATTTGATTGAAAACATGCCAATGAACTAAACTCGGGTGAAATTTCAATCAAATTTAACAAAACTCAAATAAAATTTTCATCAAATTTGATTGGAAACGCGTCGACTGATGAAATCCAGGTGAACTTTTAGTCAAATTTGATTAGAAACAAACTAAATTCAAGTGAAATTTTAGTCAAATTTGATCAGAAACGCACGATTGAACAAAATCCAGATGAAGTTTTAGTCAAATTTGATTGAAAACGCACTAACGAACAAAATTCAAGTAAAATTTTAGTCAAATTTATTTAGAAACACACTGGTAAAGTAAACCCAGGTGAAATTTTAGTCAAATTCGATTGGAAACACGCCAATGAACCAAACTCATGAGAAATTTTAGTCAAATTTGATTGGAAACGAGCCAACGAACAAAGCCTAGATGAAATTTTAGTTAAATTAGATTACAAATAGGCAATTAACTAAATCCAGCTGAAATTTTAGTCAAATTTGATTGGAAACGAGCCAATAAAGCAAACTAATGTGAAATTTTTGTCAAATTTGATTATAAACACACCAACGAACAAAGCCTAGATGAAATTTTAGTTATATTTGATTACAAACATGCAAATGAACGAAATTCATGTGAACTTTTAGTCAAATTTGATTGGAAACATGCCAATGAACTAAACTCAGGTGACATTTTAGTCAAATTTGATTGGAAATGCAATAATGAACAAAATTCAGATGAATTTTTAGTCAAATTTGAATGGAAACATGCTAATGAACAAAATTCAAGTTAAATTTTAGTCAAATTTGATTAGTAATGGGCCAATAAACAAGATTCGGATTAAATTTTGGTCAAATTTGATTAGAAACACGCCAAAGAGTTGAACCCAAGTGAAATTTTAGTCAAATTTGATTGAAAACGCGCCAATGAACTAAATCCAAATGAAATTTTAGTCAAATTTGATTGGAAACGCGACAACGAACAAAATTTGGGTGAAATTTTAGTCAAATTTGATTAGAAACTATCCAAGGAACAAGACTCATGTGAAATTTTAGTCAAATTTCATTGAAAATGCGCCATTACACCAAACTCATGTGAGATTTTAGTCAAACCTGATTAGAAACGTACCAATGAACAAAACTCAGATGAAATTTTAGTCAAATTTGATTGGAAACACGCCAACAAACAAAACTTAGGTGAAATTTTAGTCCAATTTCATTAGAAACAGGCCAATGAACTAAACACAAATAAAATTTTAATCAAATTTTATTGAAAATGCACCAATGGTCCAAACTCAGGTGAAATTATAGTCAAATTTGATTGAAAACGCACCAACGAACAAAACCTATATAAAACTTAGTTAAATTTGATTGGAAACACGCTGACAAATGAAACTCAGGTGAAATTTTAGTCAAATTTGATTAGATAGGCGCCAATGAACAAAACCAAGATGAAATTCTATGCAAATTTGATCGAAAACGCACCTGAGAACAAAACACAAGTGAA